CAAACTTTCTACGCAACGGATGTATGTCGAAGCACCCAGCATATAGAGAGCCTAACCTTTGCACCGGACACGAAGCACTTCGTGTGAAAATGTACTAAAGACGCTACAAAGCCTACCTCTATTTCACCTGTCTTCATTTTCAAATTCGTGTTTTCTCCTCGACTTATCACTGATCCTTCAACTTGCACAATAGATTCATAAGGCAAGTCTTTAACGACGTTGCATAGCTCAGACTCCGGGTTTACAACAGCCTGAGAAATAGAACATCACTTCGGTTTCGGTATGCCACTGGCTTCAAAATGATGAAAGGGACGAGTAGTCTGTCAATTAGTCGTCCTAATTGCTCATTCAACACACCTGCACAAGTCCGTAGGGGTCTCGAAGAACTAAGAAGCGATTCATTCTTTTGTAGGCAAGCCAGCCCATAACGCACACTCGCGCCCCTAAAGAATTAGTGGCACATTTGGAGATAGCACACAGTCTTGCTCGCTGCAGATGAAGGGGCGTGTCAGTGAGGGAGGGGTATGGTGCGCCGCCAGCCGTTCTTCACCACCTGCTGAAGCGCGTAAGCGACAATAATTAAACGACTGACAGTAGGGAATGACAGTCTTGTTGACTGCCGAAAAAGGCAAGAAGCGGGCTGCCGCTGCGTTAAACCTACCTGCTCTGACACGCTCCTCATTCGTAAGGAAGATTACTGGAGTTGTAGCAGCTTTTGCCAGTGGTCTTTCTGCACTACTACATCTCGCCATTATTGTAATCTATTGGCAGTCTAGGAACAATATGGGAAACTCTCTACCGGGACAAACCTTTGTTCTTTGGGAGCCTGGCGTTATTCTAACAGAGATGGGTGGTGACTCGTAACCACTGCAAACTTTTCATTGTGTCCACTCCCTCCCTCGTTACCGTATTATCGTGAAGCAGAATGGTTGGGAAGTTCATACCATTTCTCCTATGCAGTTCTTGTACAGAAAGTGCAAGGAGAAAGGCAATCTCAAATGGCCCAAGTTTCAATTTTGAGGAACTTCTCTAATAAGAATTTTCCTGGAATCAATACTATTTCCCGTGTGGTGAACATACAGTCGTGTTCGCTGGGGATGGTTGTCTGGAAGGATGGATCTGGCGCGGCTCCAGCTGGCTTTCTTATTTTTCTTTTGGTAAACCACAAAGGTATCGTATTGTCCGCATCA